TGGCTACCATGACAAAAGGCACACCTCTGTATGGACGAATGAGGAGGAGGCAATTAGTTGGCTCAGCAAATAGCAGACTGACCAGTGAACAACGCCCACAACAGTGCATTGTACAAGGAAAATTTTCAGGATGCAAGTTATATATAGGATTTCTGCACAAAACTCACCATGACTCAATAACCAACTGAAAAAACCTTTGCTGTACTTTTCCCATATCACATATCAGCTGATGTGGTATTGGAGTGGGGGATTGTTATCTGATACAGCGTTAATATTCAACTTTGTTTTATCAAATATATTCAAAATGTGTAAAATAAATATCACATACCATACCACGTACGGAAGTCTACAGTGTGTCCAAATCTTGCCTTATAATTTTTATTTTTTGTAAAGAAATGCGTTGTGACCTATTAAAACACGTATGGTTTACGGACCATGATTTTACCTGTAAGCTAGGGTCATGCATTCAAACAGCTTGGTGAAAGAATCGTCGATTGTAAAGCAGATCCCATGAAGGGTTCCATCACCAAAATTGTATGTTTGCTGAGGTTCCCGACTAGCAGTGGCAAAGTCATAACCCCCTGAAGCCTTCGAGACAGGGGGAACGGGCTGGTCGGAAATTGTTTTTTCGTCGTCATACCCATGGACTCGGCTCAACATAAAATGCCCACTGTGGATAAACTTGTCATTGTCAGATTCCTCCCAGTCGTCTATCTTCTTCTGATCTTCATCACTGGAATCTGTATCAAATATATCACTTTTAGCCATAGCTATAGGCGTTAGCGGGGCTTCATGGAGAAACATTTAGCAAATTATTATCCATACACATAACACCAACTTCTGTCCGCCATGGTAAATAACCGAAGTTTTAACGAGAGGTTACGGAAACTGACGACTCTGGGGTTTAGACCAATCAGAGGTGAGAATACCTTGAGAGTCCGAAGGTCACCCTTCTCCATTACAAAACATTACTGAAGTCGAATCGTGTGTGCTATCATGTGCGTTAAAAAGAATGCTGAATTTAAAGTAACGTTAGCGTAATAAAATTCAGATAAATTTAAGTTGCATTTTTAAACTAAGTAAAAAAAATTAGAAGGAACGATATTAGTAGAATGAGATGCTCCACACTGTCAAGAAAGAGAGGAGCTGCAGGTAGGCCTACTACATGTACTGTAGGCCTATGTGAGCCTACCCCCCCCCCCCCCCCCCCCACCTTAACCCGCCCAGGGAGCCGTTTATGAAATATTCTGGAATTTTTATGTTAATGCACATATGCAGTGGAACTGTCATTTTGAGATAAAATGAAAACATGATACAAAATTTTATGCTTTCCTTGGTTTTCAACGGATGAACGGATCAACTGGTTATAGGAACATCAATAAAATACACGCAAAAAATCAATTATTACCGTAAAACGGTAAAAGTAAACAAAAATACGGTTAAATAAGCACACGAACGAAACGTAGTGCCTCGATATGAAACCAGACAACTTTTGTGTTTTTAATCTCCAAATACGAAAAAACATCAATTAAGCTAATAAATAGGCTAACGTTAAGAACATATTATATCGTTTGTTTCATATTAATTATTATTTAAGATCATAATAATAAACAAGTCGCATTTCGATGAACTCCATGCTATAACCTTTATATAAAAATAGCAATTTTTACGAGATTACAAATTGTATCGCATTGTTTGGTTCCATTGCCTCGCTTTCAAAAATTAGAACAGGCGCTCCAAAATCGTAAAACGAAGTTAAAAATTTTATATTGGCCGAGTTCCCTCACTGTTAAGAATATCCTCGCAGCATTATCTGCAGTTAACCTTCCTACGATTTTCAATGTATTTTGCAATGTAATTTACAATCCTCCAGGTGAAGAATTTTATTAATCAAGAGTAGGGGAGGTGTGAAAATCCCCATTGGGGCCACATATAACACTATAAACACAATGGGAATCCCCTTAAAATGAAGGTAAAATAAATGTTTTTCTAAGGAATTCCGACAGATTTACTTTTTACAACATAAAATCAACAGAACATTTCTAATATAAATTTTCAAAAAGACACCAGAGAGCTAATGAAATAAAATCAACCAGACGGTCTTTGTCAATTTCACCAACTTGTTTATTTCAAACAGCGCACTTTTCGCACATGCGCAGTTGTTTGAAGCCTGTGCTGGTTAAATATGAGCCAAACGTCACCAGTAGTATCAAAAACCAGAATATTTACCGTACATGGGAACCGATCATGCTGCTTTTCGAAAGCAACCTGCCTCTTTACCAGACAAGGCCTCTCAGTAAATTTAAAGTAAAACAAAAATACAGTTTGGCAGTTATAAGGCGAATGGACAGACTAACCGATCAGAATGTATACGTGTCTTTAAGTGTCTGTATATAAAAATATGAGAACAATGCGCAGGCAAAAAGCCTTATGAAAATAGAAGTATATATATGTAGTTAAGGATACTGTGCTTTTATGTACTGATGTTCAAAGTTTGGAAAAACAGCCTCGTGAATTGCATGAATAGGAAAATAAACCGGACATCTTGTTGGAAGTTGCGACCTCTCCCATCCCAGGGGCGGATCCAGGACTACTTGAAGGGGGGGGGGGATATGCAGATGCGAAGCCGATCGATCCTCTCCCCCTCCCCCTTGGCGTGGGGTTCGCTGAAGGCCCCCGAAAATTTTTGGTATGTTAGAGGGCGAATGCATATATGGTGCCATTTAGTACGGCTTAGAACTATGATTCAGCTAGTCAAAATTCTAATTTCAAGAGGGGACCAGAAATCGAGGGGGGGGGGGGGGTCAGGACCCCACTGACCCCCTCTTAATCCGCCACTGCCTCCCCCTTCCTACATGTACACTCAAAGATTGTCCTATACCTTTCCCCGACCTATGCTAATGCGTTTGAAAATATAGTGTCCAAATATCTAAATTGACTTACCATGTCCAATTCGGAAAAAAAGACGAAACCCTTCAAATTAGTAAAAGTTGGCCTACTTGATGTATTTATTTCTTTTTGAAATCTCAATTGTTGCAATAAGACCATGGCGATCTAAATTAATAATACGGATCTTATCTAGTTATCTAATCGGCAATCGCTAAAAACATTGAATCAAGTGCGCGAACCAAAGGGACCGAGAAGGAAATATTTGTTTCCCTGTAGTAAAATTAGAATTAGAATTAGAGATGATAATTGGATAACGCGCTAATAAAAAGATAATTGGTGTTTCAAACTGTTTGAAATCCCCCACGCCACTTTTTAATTCATAGCTGTAAAACCAGTATTTTTCTCAATGCTGTCTCACCCAACCTTGCAGTGTTATCAAGGAGTTATAACTCCTTGGTGATATCGAGTCGTAATCACACTGGAGAAACAGAGCTGAAAATGCATTAGTTGTGACAAGTGTGGATAGCGGTCACAACAAACACATTACCTTTGTAAAGATTTACAACGAGGCTGTATTTTGTCATCACTAAAATAATGCCCTCGGGAGCGTAGGTGAAGAGCTTACGGTAATTAAAGTCAAACCTCTTGTAATGAGGACATATGATGTTTCTTTTACCTTGAGGTCATGTAGAAAAATAAGTGGCAAATGAAGAGGGGAGCCTCAGAAGACGGAAAAGGTATGTATTTTACCGCATTATTTACGTTGTTATGGACTTATTTCGGCATGCTAAATCAAATGGTTATGGCAATGCGGTCAACCTGTGCGGAGAGTAGTTTTCTATTTTACAGCATATTGATATGATAGGAGTTCAAAACAAAATTATAATTGATTTAAGATTTTAAGAAGTGCAATCTATGGAAAAAATGTGGTCGAGGGGGTGGTGAGGGGGGCAGACAGCTAGTGCTCTATCTGGTACGTGGACAGAGCTGTACTTCCTTAGAAATCATTTTTGATTTCAATTTTGTGAACCAAGGTTGTTTTAGCCTCAGATCAGCATAAATGTGGGATGTATTATTTACCTAACACTTCGTTTATCTAGCATTGTACTGGTAAGCATACATTTTAGAAAAGAGATACTGCTTAATTTCTTCATACTAGTATTTCGTTTTTATTGATTTCTAGTGTTAAGCTGTCAAGTGATGCAGCTCCTAAAAAAACTTCGAATCTCTGGATTTTCAGTGCTCAAATGTTTAAAGAAATCACAAGAATATATATCTGATATTTCAAAATAAATTATTGTAAGCAGGTTTTATATAAATTAATATGTATGTAGTGTTGTGAAGCAGTCTTCAGAGTGTTTTAATGCTTCTTGGTCTATGACATTAGCATTTGGTCTCTTTTTATGAAGGTGAATCTCCATTTTAGTGTATTTTACAGTATTGTTATACTCCACCACAACAAGCACTTTTTTCATGTAGCCTTTCTGTTTTACATATACGTGTAAGCAATTCGATTGATGACTCTTTTCCCAAAAAAATGAAGAGTTGTTTTCTCTTTAAGGTAAAGTTTAGGCATGATTGCTATTTTACTTTTTTATGTATATTTAAAATATTTAGGGACTTATCACAATCTTTAAGAGATAACTTGTGTATGAAAAAGAAATATAAGATACTTCTTGCTTATATCCATATATATATAGGTAAGAAGGTGTCATCTTGAAGTTTTTATAAAAGATTAGATATCAAAATATATATTAATGACATATCTTTGGCCTATCCTTTACCTTTAAATGTTGAAATATAAATATTTCTGCTTCTTTTTAGTGACTAAAAATAAACACAAAAAGGGAATTTAATAATGATATTTTTGTTTATTTTTATCTGTTAGAGGTGATATGATTATCAAGTAATTATTACTCAGAACCTTGGCCTGTGGATTTTTTTTTTTAAATTTTTTTTTATAAAAATATAATATTTTTTCTTTGACCTGTCTTGAAGTATCAGTTAAACAAAAGTGAAGGGGATTGCAAAGAGGCAGACAGAAATGTGGTTGAAGGCATCTAAATATTAATTGCTATATAGAGACGCAGTTATGCTTTATTTATAATGCTGGAATTTAGAGTTCACACAACAAAGGACCAAGGAGCAAAGTGCAATCAAATTCTGTCTAGGCAATTGAATAAAGGAATTAATCATATTCTGAAAACTGATCTTGCCTGTACCATTGAATACTCTTTGTCCTGTGCATATTTGATTAGCCTCAAATTTTATTTTCTTTTAATGTTGACAGGGAGAAAGTTGGAGATGATAAAGTGGGATATTTACAATCCACAGTCACTGTTTAGCTGTAGTGAGGGTGTGTGCATTGCACTTATTCCAAGTTGAAACTTGTACCTTGGAACTATTGGTTTGAACTGATCCCAGAGTTGTTTGAGTGTTACCAAGGCAACAAAGTCTACAGTACACTATCAGTAGCACAGGGTGATTAATAGGGACAATATCAGTGTGATACTTGTGTGGTATTCTCCAATAATCATGCCACAGCAATTGGATTTAGATATCATTTAAAGACTGGGAAACTGTGCGGTATTTATTATGGAGCACGGCAACAGAACCTATCTGTCAACATTGTCAACCGTGAAAGAGATGTTGATTCAGGTCAAATGGCTTTACCCGTGTAAATAGATTGCATTTGCTTTGTAAATTCTTCATGAGTTTCCAGCGTATGCTAGATACAGAGCACACAACAGGTATTGAATACTGAGAGATGTAGAGTGTGGATGCTGATGATGTCAGGTATGTCAATATATAGTATTCGATTGTCACCAGCTGTACTATAACTGTATATATACATAATATTACTTAGTACATGTGTAGTATTACTGGCAATGAAACCGAACCTATTGACGAGATCTACTGTGCACTGTGTTTTGACCTTCTTGGCATACACTACCTGGCATGCAGCTCTTGGCATACAGCCATCTGGGATATATTCACCTGACATATATGCCACTTGCATGTACATGTTTAAATATACACCTAGATAACCAACGTTTGTGGTAACTACCTTATGTGGCTGTCCCACCTGTTGAATCAACACTCTATCTACAGATCACAAGTTCACAACACCCTTAGGTAGTAAAGATTACAAAAATTAAAGTCATTGCTGGAGTGTATTTCATATGATATGACCCAGCTTCATAAAACTGCATCGTCAGCATGTGGTGGCTTATGCATTTAACTGTTTCCTTGGCCTAGGTAAAAAGCTGTCTTGCATGTGTCTTGTCAAGAAAGTTGTTTTGGATTTGTATCTGAGTCTTGGCATCAATGTTGTGCATTAAATTACTGAGTAAATTTACTGCTCAAAATGTGGTATCATTGTATACCATCATCATGCAGCACTTAAACTGAGATCGTTGCAGTCAACAATTTAGGGTCATTATTCTAAAAATAAGACCATGCATTTCATTTTAGAAACTACAAAATTTTTTGGTCAAAAAAGCATTTTTTATCTTTTTCTGGTTGTACATGGAGAAGCATAACTCTGATGGATGATTTTTTTTATGGTGAACACAAAAACACAAGAAACTGCATATATATTCTCCGCTGCCTTTTCAAAAATAAAGGAGGAATTGCAGTGGTGTAAGTTTACTGGCCAAACCAGTGGATGGAAGTTCACACCAAGAGAGATTTTGTTTTTGATATTGCAGTATATAAATATGTACAGAACAGTTGTAAAGAGTGTAGTGTGACATGTTTATGTTTCCTTTATCTGATTAACACACCTACTACGTAATGGATATACATGGGCAGTTCAAAGTTTGTTATAACAGGTATGGCACATAGAAAATGGCCATTTCTGTGACACAGAATATACTATGTAGGAGCGTAATCTCTGGTTAAGCTTGCCAAAATACAAAATAAGTTTGTAATGACTGTTTTTACTATTGGGAATAGGCAAAAATTGTTCACCCAGAACTAAAAAGAATATGCAATGTATAGTACTGGTATATACCTCAAAATATGATCTGTTATTTCAGGTGGGACCAAGAAGTTTTTGTACACTGGTCCCCAGTCAAAAAATGAAGATGAGAATGAATGGGATTTTACCCCAGTAAAGAAGAGTAAAGAAAGCACAAAAAACAGTTGTAAGTCTAGTTTAACATTCACTGTCTTGTTTATCTTCAGTGCTATTTGCTTGAGTTTTTTTCTCCATTTAGAACATTCTACATACATCCAGTGTTGTAACAACGAGATAACCTCTTGGTTTCATACTCATTAATTATTCATCAAATTGCCTTATGTAATGACAATTTAACATTGAGTGATGTATAATTAAGGCACCTGTAATTTAATGGCCTGGAAAAATTTGATTATTATCATTGAGTAAATGTTTATGAGTTTCTGAATAGAAATAATGATTAATCTGTTAAACATATGGATCCTTTTGACATTTACAAAATTGACAATTTTGACATCAGGGGTGTATATTTCTTTAAAATATTTAATAATGGAGAAACAATCAGTTTCAGTTGAAGCTAACTTGGAAGATGTCTGGAGTATAAAGAAAAATGTAGCTTTGGGAAGTCCTGTGCCCCAAAAAACTGATACTGGTCTAACTCTCAATGTGGGCAAGGGGTTCTACTCCAGGCATGCTGCACTGAAAGGTGGGTAGACGGTAATGACTCGATCTTTTAATGGAGAAAACCATGAATTAAACAGAAACTGTGTTTTTTAAGTCATAAATTCTTATAGTTAGAACATTCCAATTGAAAGACAGCAGCAGAATTGAAAAGCAGGATTGGCTACCTTATAGTTAATACTGGGGGGTAGCAGGTGTTCTTTTCCTGAAAAAATGCGGACTTTTAACCAATTTTCGTGTGCCTACATTGTATTTTTACCCAGAGCTGACCTTGTCCCCGTCCTCCCCCGCTGTGGACCTGAACAGCTTTTATATCTATGATTGCTACACTCCTGTTTTTAAGCTGCAATAAACTTCTCTCAATAGTAAAGCAGTAATGTATTGTTCATGTGTAGGCAGCTTTGATACTGTACCATGTTGCTTTCATAATATTGATTACAGTTGTATTATAAACTGTCCATAGGTTAGGGTCATTGGATTCTTATGGACATGATGTGTAAAAGTTTCATTTTTAATTGTAATGAAAGTTCAAGAGGGTGGGGCTTAAGGCCCAGTTTAGGCTAAGATCGTATTTTATGGCATATCTATCAAATTAAATATCTCTTGCTATAAAAATGTAGTATTTCGCTGGTTGTACAACTATGTATGTAATATCTGTATAAACTGTATTTCTATTAGCTCTGAACCACATCTCTCATAGTGTGATCAAGAACAAATGTACTGTAAAAACAGACATCTCGGGAATGGCTTGAAAGTTGATAATGGACTCTTCTCTTAGTGTAATGTGATTCTACAATCTATATGTAATAGGTAGATCTTATTCATTTTCCTTTGATTTTCTTTCAGATGAGGACTTGAACCATCAAAACATTACCGGTAACACTTCACCAGGTAAATGCACGTTTTTTTTTAATGTCTATAATGTTTGCACTAAGAGCTTTGAATTGGTTATGTCTACAGTATTTTCTTTGTGCACAAAGATTTTTTGTAGACATTTGACTGTCAGGCCTGCTGATCACGTCCAACAGCTTAGGGCAAACCAGAGATCAATTTTTACTTTCATGAAGCTTGTGCAGGTGTTTTCATTGTTATTTGTTTTTATAACGGTATTATGTATGCTCGGCAGTGTACACAGAATGTGTTGATGCTAATTGACCCGGGCAACCCACGGGGGTATTGATCTGAAGTTCTGAACAAAACAAACGTGCCATAAAATAGCGTTGTTATATTTTATTGTGAGGAACAAACTAAAAAATTGCTTGAAAGAAATATATGCATGTTTTTGCCTTGCTATTGAATATATGCTGCTTGGGTGTATTGAAGATATATACTTTGGTTGCAGCAGTTCTTTCATTCCGTATCAGCCAAAGAATGTGTTGAATTTGCATTCAAGTTTGAAGCATTTTAGGACATTTGCAATGAGTCATGCTTGCAGTCATGGCTTTTGTGCAATACCTTATAATTGAATATAAGAGTTGTCCTTGAGGAATAGAAGTTTTATAAATTTGAGTTTTTTATTCTTTTAAGAATCTATTTTATATAATCTTATTAAAATAAGATCGTAATGATATCTCTCCAGCAAAATGAAATAACATTGTCATAGATAAAAAATAGATATTTAATTGTCCTTCAGGTGGACGTTCATGGAGTCAGCCCAATCAGTCCAGATATTCATATGCCCACACCAGTGCAGCAGCAGTGCAGGGACAAGTGCAGCCTGGAAGTCCCTCATCTCCTAAAATACAGCAGGACAACATGGGAAGACTAAAAAGACAGAATAACCAAGGTGTTCAGAGCACCAGCGGCAACGTCCAAAGCACAATGCAAAATAAGTCCAGATACTTTTGATGCAAATATATTTATACTATCACAGAGATCTTTGAGAATATGCCGTCCAACATCTATATTAAAGAATTTATTTGATAGAGGCATGTTTATGCCTGAACTATTTTCATTGGTATTTTACTGTAGGTTTGGCATCAAAAGTTTTCTTTGGAGCTAATTTACATTTTTGAAGAATCTTTGATGCATTTTAGAATATAGAATATTGAACCACAATAGTCTTACAAAGACCCTTTTCACATTGAGCAGTATACCTAATCCATACAGTCTGTATCATATTCTCCATGCTTACTGCTGTGCAGTTAAGAAAAATAATGGGCTGCGTTGAGTGTGGAGGCTCTATTTAGGTAAATCCTTTACATAATAGCCAGGCTATTATTTGTCAATCTTTCACAGTGAACTAATCCAGATTGTAACACATAAGTATATTTTGTGATATAAAAAGGGGCCTAAATCTTTCAAATTATATAGTATTTGGCATTTTAAAAGAGTTGACATCAAATGTTCAGGGGTATTTCTCATATATTTTGTATGTTGGGGAGAACATGCGGGTCCATGTTGTAGTTTCTATATCAAATTTTGTGATGATACTTAAATGACATATTTGATAATTCTTATGTTTGAGCAGTTTGTAAGGGTGTGTGTACCTCAATATCTTTCTGTTAGAAAGAGATGGAATAAGGAATGGTGCCAAGAACTGTTGGGATGTTTAGAAAACAGATATTGCATTTTTCTTGCAACTTGCTTGCTGTAAGGCCAAAGTGCAGGTCAAGTTGGAGAATAGACCCGATTAATTTCGAGCATTATTTCAAATACTGTGTTGTTCTATATGATCCTTAACAGCTATTTACATGTACGTTACATTGTTTTGTGTTAAAAACTTTTTTTATTGTGTTAGTGTATAGACTGAATTATAGACTGAATTATTTCTTAATGTTGATACATAATATAGTTTATTTCTGGAGACAACTATATTTTTAAGAAAAATATTTAGCATTAACAAATTTAAGTGCGTTCAAAGGGTATTTACTAATATGTTTATTAACATTGTTTCTTAATTTTGATACATTGTAAAAAATATTTGTGATAGTGGATAGATGTATGTTCTAAATTTATATTACAGAAATCATTTTTTAAATTATTGTTAGGATGTGCCAAAATTTCAGATACAAACCAACGTAGAAGTAGAATCCTTATCAGTCTCTTTGCAGTGTACTTTTGTTGGTAACAATATTTTATATTTATATCCTTTTTGTGACTGTTTGAATAATAGCATTTTCTGCTGGAATGCTTTTAAAATGAACATGATGGAAAATTGGTAGTTTTGAAAAATCAACATATTATATTGAAAGACAATTGTTAGAAATCACTGTTATTTTCAATAGATAGTGTAACCATATAACTATGGAGTCTTTTTAAAGATGTCAATCTGCCATTCTTTGCTTGTATATTTTAACAGTAACTGTTATAATAAAGTTTCCATGTGCTGGTAACAATATATATATACATATTTTTTTTCTTTTTTCAGTAGATGTTATCACCTTTTGAATGGGATAACTGTTTACATTTTTGGTTAATCTCTTAAAACAAAACCCATTTTGTGACTCATAAAAGATTTTTTTATTTCGGTTGCACTAAAATGCACAAACAAAAAGCAATATATAAATATAGATTTGTTATTCAATCTCACACGTGCTTTCCCATAAAACCCCAATAATTATGCTATTATATTAGTCCACATTAAATATATAATTCACAAATAAATCACAGTCTGTATAATAAAATGAGTAAATATGCTTCTCTAAAAAACGAGCCAACAGACAAAAAACATTTTATGCAGGTTTCCAGCTGATAAAACATAGATTTCTTTTTTTTTTCACTTGAATGGAAAATATAATATGCATTATCACATGTAAAGCTAAAATTCCATATATTATAATACTTTGATAAATTTTTATACATTTTCATTGTATTGGAAGGAGAACTGACAAGTTGTAAATTGATTTTTCAACTTTCATATCACATCTTTTGTTTCGAAGACTTGAATCCATTGGGAGTATGCGTGATCTTTATACAGAATTCAAAGCAGTCCATAAAATGGCATTCCAAGTATTTGGGTAATACTGCAGTGGGTTAAAACTGGACCCAGAACCATAAAGTTCAAATTATGCTTGTACAGGCAAAAAAATTTCATATAATACATTAATCATGTCCTTGTTATCATTGTGTTTAGTCCACATTGAGCAACTCAAGACTTCCAAAATGTGAAGAAATCAGGCAAGACAGAAATAAAGTGACCAATTCAAAAAACAAATACAAGTGAAAACAATGATACAATAATTTAGATCACTTGGTGTCGCAGAGCAACCCGACTCCTCTCAAAATCCAGTGATCTGGATCCTTGACTGTCTTCAGTAGCAAAGCAAAGATGTAGGTAAGATCTGTACGGCGCGGTTTCTTGTACACTGGACACTCATACAGATTGTTGCCCTTCGGTCTCTCTGTATTGATGGCATAGACATGGACCACAGGAAGAGGCGTGAACAGCACTTTGGGCGATGGTTCCATAAGGCGAGCATTACGCCTATCCCAGCCTGCACCATCCAGGAACAACCCATGAACATACACACCTGGAAATGTTTGAAAAGTTTGTGTCATATCATTCTTCTAAAACTTCATGTTGATCTTTTGATAAGTGATAAGAATTTGCCATACATCTGGTGTCCAATTTTGCACCAATTCATGTTTTCTAAACATCTAAATAGTGTGTCCAGCTCTCTCTGCTTTCTTGGACTTGTAAAGAATCCATGTAAAAACATTGATATGATGAAAAATCCACTCTGGTCATAGTGTCCATTTTATATCATCACAAAAACTAAAAAAAACTGACTTACCCTCTGACGGTGGATTGGTGATATCCTCCTTCATCATCTTGGTGACATCATTGGATAGGACCACACCATCCAAGGCCCAGCCCTTGTGTGCTCGGGTGATCTCTTGTCTCATGGCAGTCAGGAAGCCCTGGAAAAGGCAGATGTAATATAAACAATCTATTCCCTTAATGCTAAGACCAATTCTGTCCATGCTTTGATCATTTTATCATATCATAAACATATCTGTCAGAAAATTTTAATGAAAAAATAATGATTTGTGAAATGTAATTTATTGCCTTTGGGAGTCTTTGGGAAGACACAGGATGGTATATCCAATGTATCATTTTGAAAAAAAAGAACCTGAACAATTCACTGAAGAGATTTTGCTCTGAAAATATTTACCTGAGGATTGAAGAATCCAGTGAGCCAGAAGTAAGTTGGTCTACCATCGAAGATCCAGGTGGAGAATTGGGCATTTCTGTCCAACAAGTCCGTGAACCAAAAACCAAGAGTGGCAGACTCCCAGGAGATCTACAGTATAACACAGAGATGAACATAACATAGCCTAATATGGACAAGGTCCACCCTATCAGAGCAAACTTAAGTATAATTCTACACTAATTCTAATATGGCATTTTTCATTAATTTGGTTCAAAATGCACATTTGTCTTGTATCACACTGTAAAAGCTATTAGCCTTGAAGACACTCATTGACAAGAAAAATAAAACGATAGAAAGCTCATTAGAAGGAAAAAGTGTATAAATGTGTAATTTCTATAAAATAACTTATACAAAATCAACATAACTATTCTAAGTTTATAGTCTTGCTGACACAATATGATTAGGCAATACTGATTTCTTTAGAGAACCCGTCCTTGCCTACAGCATATTTCAACATTTCTCATTCTCTCATACAATACTGACCTTTTTCCAGAAGTTGGGCACCCTAGCATCAAACATGTTATCCAGGGCATCTCTCAGATTCTCACTCATGATGATAGTACCATCAATGGCCAGCTTCAGGTCCACTAGCGTTGTCCTCACAACAGAAATGACGCGCTGCATACGATCAATTTCCTGGCGCAAGAAGATGTTCAGTGGCTGCAACTGACCCATTTTCTTCAGACGATCCCTCACCTCGAAGGGTGAATAATCTGGCGGGAGTTTCTCCAGCATGTCGTCTGCTAGACGGTAGACGATAGTCTCACGGGTTTCTCCACCACCTCCTCCAGAGTCTTTGGGCTGAATGTTCATGATAGTTGCCAGCATAGAGTTGGCTGTGTTGGTTTGATAGCTGGAAAGATTTTTTAAAAATTTGACTGAGAAAAAAAGATGCAACTTTTGAACATAGTTTCTATGTGCACTGATTTTAAAAGTGAAGAAAAAAAGATAAAAATAGAGATATGTATAGCACTTATTACAGCACTTTGTGTTTTAAGCCCTTGATCTTTAGGTGACCAATAATGTAATTCAGACATGCAAGTGCACACACACACACACTGTACTTACGTGATGTCAGCATTTGGATGGAGCCCAAACACCTCTGGTGTATCTTGCAAAGGCATCTGCTCAATGTTGTTCCTGTACTCTTCTATTGTCTTGCATTTAGGAATCTTGTATCCTACAGGGGAAACAACAATTAGTTTCAAGTTATTACATTCATTGAGAATGTTTTTCACAGAATTGGTAATTACAAAAGAGGAAATTTTTCAACCTAAGAAACTCTTACCTTTGTAGAAATGGAAGCTATCAGCAAACATGTTTTCTCCAAACCACACTCTGGCATAGGTGTTGAGCAGACGTTTGTCATAGTCATCTGTCACACGTCCTCCATACTGGATCTCTCCAATCATGTACCGCACTGTCTGCCATGACACACCCTAAAATGACAAATATTCAAACCATTAGTCCACTGTTAACTGAAGAAATGAGATATTACGAGATCTATATGTCACATATCAAATCTAGACCAAAAAAAGATGTTCTTATAGATATTCCAATGGTTGCATACAAAGTCTAATGGTCTTACCCTCTTTGGATCCATGTCATCCAAGTGGTTCTGGCAGAACTGAACAGTGGCATTGAAATCAGACTGGTTGAACTCATAGGGAATGTTCCAGCCAATGGGGCCAAACTTACGCCTCTCCTGCACTGTGGTGTGGAGGAAGGCCACGCCATACAGCATAGGGCGCCACTGAGGCATGTTACTGATGTCTAGTTGCTCCTGTAGAAGGCAATCAAAACGATAAATAAGTTAATTTTCTCTCCACAATTTTTTTTCTCATAAACTAATTCTGCAAATCTGAAACAACTGAAAATCTTAAATTTCATAATTTTTTGAAAAAAAAAAAAGAAAAAAAGATTTTCATGAAATCATCTGAGCACCCTGAGTAATGAGAGGCTGTTAGTGCACTGACCTGTGTGATGCCTGCATATGTCCTCTTCAGGCCTGCTTTGACACCCAGGGGAGGCTCATTTGTGAACTTGATACTGCTCTGCAGCAGGTTGATGGGGAACTTGGGATGTGGCTCGGTGGTGATCCAACAGCGGAACTGGTCGTGCACTGATTCTGTGGTGAGAACCTGATGAAAAATAAAGAAGTGTTTTAGTATCTACATACTGTTCAGGCAATGTCCTCATTTATTAATCCTCAGGCATATAAAGGATAGATTACTACTCCAGCATTTGTTTTATTAAAAATTATTATCATCATTATTTATTAAATTTTTCTGTTGAAATACTTACAATTTCCAGAAGCTCATCCATAAAGTTCAAGCCCAAATGGCAGTTCTGTAGAAGAACCCATCTTCCCTCTTGCATGGAAATGGACAGCAGACGGCGTGCATGCACCTCTTGACCTTGACCCATAGAAATGGCACCACATTCTGGAGGAAAAGAGAAAAAAAATGTTGATACTGAAACTTGTTCCTCATCAAATTTTGATATACCCATTGCACATTTCAATTAAACAATTAAATAAATAAAATATATATTTTTATAAAAATTAACCACCAAATGTAGTGTATGATGCTACAATATGTATTCTTGTGACACACTGTATCACTGTACTAGATATTCTTCAAAAGTAAGCTACTTGACTTACTCAGTGACTTCTGTTTGGCCAGTTTCTCAATGCTGTCAGTGGGATCAGAACCAAGTGACAGGAAGCAAATCAATGGGCAGCGTTTGTCAGACTCCTCCCACATGCCATCCAAATTCAAGATAACACTTTCAGCAAACTGAAATAAAAAAATAAACATATATGGTAAATAAAATAAAAAGACTTAATGCTTTGATTTGTATTTCTACCTTAACTTTAACTAAAATAATACTATAAAAAAGGTTAACTTCTTTTCTTAAACTTTTTGGTAAGTGACAACTATTTTTTCTTCCTATTCATTCAATCAAAATTTAAAAAAAAATTCTAATTTTATGCCTTGGACCTACCTGTACACCCATAGATTCGGCCACATACTTCTTAGCCATAGGAATCACACGATCTGGAGACCAACTACGAATGAGCAAAAGCTTTCTGAATGTATCCAGTGAGGAAGTGTAACCATCTGGGATTGTTGCCTCCTCTGGTGCATCTTCATCAAACCAGGCTTTCCAGGC